TAAGTACATGTTTCTGGTATCAGTATTTTACTCCACTACTTCTTTCTCTGACGACTTTTTACTTTCTACTTCTTACATGTTGAACCCAAATACCTGTACTTTCTACTTCTTACATGTTGAACTCAAATACCTGTACTTTCTACTTCTTACATGTTGAACACAAATACCTACTTCTTACATGTTGACCAATACCTGTACTTCTTCTACATTGCGGATCATTATTATTTAGAGTCATTGCGTGCCTATTGATTTGAACACGATCCGTGTATCCATCATTTCCTGGTCTTCTCTAAAGAAGAGGGACCAATGAAAACGTTGTCATGTTGCCGTTGTCACCAGGAAACATTCATTAGCTAACAATGACATTATTGTTCTATTAATATAAAGGGAGGTCAGGTACTCTTTAAAACAGCTGCAGTTATGGGTACTTTTTACTGAAGTACATTTCAAAGCCTCTTTACTTTGACTTGAGTAAAGAAGTTTAGTCAGTACTTCTACTTTCACCAGAGTATTTTTAAACACGAGTATCTGTACTTCTACTTGAGTAAAGGATGTGTGTACTTTTGCCCTCTCTGAAGATCACCTATTTTGTAAAACCACCCTGTTGTTCTAAATAGGAAAAACCTCCTTGTCATCGAGAAGTCGTGAAGAGGACAGGTTCAATAAGAGACATGATCCCCTGCATGAAAGGGGATCTGACTCCTGTCATACATCTGACATTAATGTATCAGATACACCTGTCATATCTCCTGAAAACAAGTTTCAAACTCTCCTGAATTGCTCACAGAAAGGGAAAACAAAACTCGTGAAGCAAAGTCAATCCTCCAGTAAATCAGGCTTTTTGAGTCGTTACGCATGTGAAGTGAAAGTGATGGAGTTAGTCACGGGCTGTAAAGAGTGAGAGAGAGAGAGGAACGCAGATCAAGTGGAGTGACAGAGACAGGCAGGGGGACGTAAACATAGAAAACAAGACGTTGGCCGGTGATTGGCCGATGGGCCTGTCACTCACCGAGGGGCAGCTGCTGATTGGCACACACAGTTTGGGCCGACACTCGATGTTTCCTTTGACGCAGGCACACAGAGTGCAGTTAACGGACGACCACATGTCTCCTTCCTGCAGGACAGAAACACAGCAACATCAGAATACATCCCACCACCCATCCTCATGCATTCATCTGTCCATTACCATTTTCTTAATATACGTCCATTTTTCATACATGTTTCTGTCCATTCATTGGTATAACCAGGGCTGTCCTTGAAAACTAACACTCATTGTCAAGTTTTTCCACGACGAATCTTGGGTTTAATAGAGATGTGCTCAAAAGTTTCTCGTACATTTGTCAGAAAAAGTTATACTTCTGTCCATCAGTCCATCCATTATCCATTTATTCAGTCTATTGATGCATTTGTCCACCATTCATCCATCCATCTGTCCATGTTTGTAAGTTCCTCATCCATCTATCACGGATTCATCCATTCAGTCAATCCCCCATGCATGGAGCTACTCCATCTGTCCATCAATACATTGAACATTTACCCAACATTCATTCATCTAAAAATCACCCATTCAATACATGTTTTGTTTTCCCACAAAGAATCTCGCCAAAGCACCACCCCAAATATTGTGTTTGATAGAGATGTGCTCAGAAAGGTTTCTTGGAAATAAGTCATAAATCTTATTATGAATTAAGTATTGAAAATTGAAAAATTAAGGAAATACATTTTGGTCGACCGAAAACAAAATGCCCAATTTGTTGAATAATCACCTAAGAAGTTGCAGTTCTTTCCAACACTTGTCCATCCATTCATCCATCTATATGTCTTTCCATCAATCCATCCATCATCCAATTCTTCAGTCTATTGATCCATCCATCCATCTGTCCATCCATCCATCCATCCATCCATCTGTCCATCCATCCATCCATCTGTCCATCCATCCATCCATCCATCCATCTGTCCATCCATCCATTCATTCATCCATTCATCTTAGAGTCCAGCGCCCATCCATCCTCATGCATCCATCTGTCCATTTATCATTACCATTTTCTTAATATACATCCATTTTACATACATGTTTCCCAAAAGAATCTCGCTAAAGCACCACCCCAAATATTGTGTTTGATAGAGATGTGATCAGAAAGGTTTCTTGGAAAATAAGGTAAATAAATCTTGGTCGACCACGAACAAATTGCCCAATTTGTTGAATAATCACCTAAGAAGTTGCAGTTCTTTCCAACACTTGTCCATCCATTAATCTTTCCATCAATCCATCCATCATCCAATTCTTCAGTCTATTGATCCATCCATCCATCTGTCCATCATCCATCTATATGTCTTTCCATCAATCCATCCATCATCCAATCTTCAGTCTATTGATCCATCCATCCATCCATCCATCCATCCATCCATCTGTCCATGCTTTCTAAGTTCCTCACCCTGTAGATCTTGTTCTGACTCTGCATGTACTTTCTACTTCTTACATGTTGAACACAAATACCTGTACTTTCTACTTCTTACATGTTGAACNCCTGTAGATCTTGTTTCTGACTCTGCAGTACTTCACCTCCTCCACCTTCACGTAGGACAGACACTCGTCACAGCAATGGTCGCCTTGGCAACTCCCAGGACGAGAGCACTGCTTGTTGCACACCACCGTTGAATCCTGGGAAGAAGAAAAAAAACACAACTCATCAAGACCTACAGGAGAAGGAAGACTTTAGAAAGTTTAGATACAACTGATAGAATAATTATTTGAATATATTTTTTCTTTTGGCCATTTTAGTTTTCACTTCATTGTAAATTGCATGAAATGATGAGCTGTTTTGTTTTAGTTTTGTTTTATGTATGTTTGACAGTGTGTGAGGACCCCAGGAAGAATAGCCAATGCTCATGCTAGTGCTAACGGGGGTCCTAATACAGAACAAGAACAAGAAGAAACGGGGTCTCTGATGGTGTGATGATGACGATGGTGGTGGAGACGCAACCGTTACCTTGCAGGTGCAGGTGGTGCAGTTGCCTTGTGAGAAGGACGTGCCGTTCTCAAACACTTCACTGTGGAACAGACAGCTTCCTGAGTACAGATCAAACACCTTCCTCTGGCCTGACGGAGGAGGAAGAGGAGGAGGAAGAGGAGGAGGAGAGAGTCAAATGATTGGACTGCTCCAAAGCAATATGTGGAAATCAATGAATGGGCCAACATAGCTTTTGTTGTTAGGTGAGAGAAGTATTTGAGGGTCTTTACCGAGACATCTGGGGCAGCACTGTCCGGGGGGGGTGTGGCTGAGGTGGGCGGGGCATGAGAGGACGGGACACACCTCCCTCATGCAGAGAGTCCGCCCTCCCTGGAGGACAAACATATAAAAAACACCATTTAAATAAGGATTATATTTGCATTCAGGTGATAATTAAACACGACTTAAAGGTCCCCCATTATACTGTTTTTCATCAATATACCACAGGTCTCAGATATATACAGAACATATCTCTGATTGGCTGAAACACCAAACAGATCAATGCAGCATTACCCATAATCCCCTCTGTTTCAGCCCTGTTTCCAAAGTGCTGATTCTCTGTCTGTTACTTTAGATGAAAGTAAGGAGCCCCTCCCCACGCCCCTCTGAGAGATATTTGGTTACAAAGAACTCAATGGTGCTCTAGGAGGAGATTCAGGTGATAAGGTGGGGGGGGGTTACCCTGGTTGCTGATTGGCTAATGGTTACACAAGACAGAACATCGTTATGACATCATACTGTGGCCAAAATCTGATCAGCTCATTTTCAGACAGGTTTTTATAGAAATGGATCAAAAAGAGAGAGAATCTTTGTTCCTGAAACTTTCAGAGTCTCTTTACTCAGAGCTTTAAAATATTTTTCTCTTGGGACAAAGGTATAATTAAGGTGTTTTCACGCCTCATAGTAACGTGTCTTTATTATTATCCAAGTTCAACATGTTATGTATCATTATTCAGTTAATATTTGAAGAAACAAATGTTGTAATTGACTCTCAATGCATGAATTATTTACATGTATGATGGCATTGTTGGTTAAGTCAAACATTAAGAAGGCCTTATATTTTCACTTTAGATCAGGGCAAACTGTGTGTGTGTGTGTGTGTGTGCGTGCGTGCGTGCGTGCGTGCGTGCGTGAGTGCGTGTGTGTGTGTACTCACAGTGCAGGAGCATTTGATGCAGGGTTTGCCCTCAGGACTGAACTCCTGCTTCTCTTTGTACAGACGAGCCTCAAAGATACAACCTGCAGGAGACGTTACACACACACATCACACACTTCAATTAAATTCACCAACACACACCTCTGTACCCTCACTGCACCTCACACTCTTATCCAGAGTATTTGTTAGAATAATTTGACTTTATTTGATTTGAGTTTGAGGTTTTTTATTCCCCAAATTCTGCAAGTAAAGGAACATTTCTTTATACTGAATAATCAAAATGTTGGAGGCAAGGAATGCAAACAAATTCAATTTCTGTAAATAATGAGTTTTATTAATGTCTTCTTTTACATTTATCCAGTTTGATGACTGCCTTAAAGTCAATTACAATCCCTGAATTACACAAAATAAGGACTCAAGGCTCAAAACTGGGTGGATTTAAGATGAATTTTACCAAATATTTAAACACAGGTGTTTTGTTTACTTAACGTAAGAAAGTAAAGTAAACAATCATTAAAAAGTCCTTCTCCCATGTCCAACCAGTCCATACAAACATTACAATCTCTATTTCATTTCCTTTAAAAACACAGAAGCTTTCAAAGGTGTGTTGTAATAATGAGTGGGGGTCTCGGGACTCACTGGGGCAGGTGGGGCAGCACTTCTTTGGGTGGATTTTGGGGTTCCTGCAGTGGACGACACACTGCACGTCCGCCTCAGTGATCACACCTTCCTGTCACAACCAGCAGGGAACGACATCTTAGTTCCTCTCATCCCTCCTTCCTCTCCTCTCTCCTTCCTCTCATCTCTCCTTCCTCTCATCTCTCCTTCCTCTCATCTGTCCTTCCTCTCATCTGTCCTTCCTCTCATCTCTCCTTCCTCTCATCTCTCCTTCCTCTCATCTCTCCTTCCTCTCCTCTCTCCTTCCTCTCATCTCTCCTTCCTCTCATCTCTCCTTCCTCTCCTCTCTCCTTCCTCTCATCTCTCCTTCCTCTCCTCTCTCCTTCCTCTCATCTCTCCTTCCTCTCATCTCTCCTTCCTCTCATCTCTCCTTCCTCTCATCCCTCCTTCCTCTCATCTCTCCTCCCTCTCATCTCTCCTTCCTCTCATCTCTCCTCCCTCTCATCTCTTCTTCCTCTCATCTCTCCTTCCTCTCATCTTTCCTTCCTCTCATCTCTCCTTCCCTCATCTGTCCTTCCTCTCATCTCTCCTTCCTCT